TCTTTCTTATCTTTATTCCTTTCATTTTTTTCTCTTGTCTAATTGCTGTGGCTAATTTTTCCAGAACTATATTGAATAGGAGTGGTGATAGTGGGCATCTTTGTCTTGTTCCTGATTTTAGAGTAAAAGCTTTCAGTTTTTGTCCATTTAGTATGATGTTTCTGTTGGTTTGTCATAGATGGCTTTTATCAGATTGAGGTAAAATCCATCTTTTCCAATTTTTCTATAGCTTTTATCATGAATGGGTATAGGAGTTTGTCAAATGATTTTTCTGCATCTATTGAGATAATAATGTGATTTTTGTCTTTGTTTGATTTTGGTTGTCTTTTGGTTGATGTAGTGTATTACATTTATTGATTTTCATATATTGAACCATTCCTGAATCCCTGGGATGAGTCCTACTTGGTCATGTTGATTTGCTACATTCTGTTTGCCAGTATCTTATTGAGGATTTTTGTGTCTATGTTCATTAGGGAGATGGGCCTGTAGGTCCCTTTTTTTGGTTGGGTCTTTCTCTGGTTTTCCTATTAGGGTAATATTTGCTTCTAGAGTGATTTTGGGAATATTGCTTCCCTTTCAGTTTCATTGAAGAGTTTGAAGAGTAATGGCATTAGATCTTCTCTAAATTTCTTGTAGAATTCATCAATGACACTGTCAGGACCTGGGCTTTTCTTTGTTGGTAGGTTTTTAATTACATCTTTGATTTCATTGACTGAAATTGGGTTATTTAGAATCTTTATATCTTGATTCAGTTTTGGTAATTTATAGTTTATAATTCAGTTTTGGTATCTAGGAATCTCCATTTTTTCTGTTTTCTATCTTATTAGAGTACAGGTTCTCAAAGTAGATATTTATGATCTTCTGGACTTCTGCGGGATTCATTGTGATTTCACCTTTTTCATTCTTAATTGCATGGATTTGTGTCTTTTCTTTCCTTTTTTTTTTTGGTACCGGGGATCGAACTCAGGTCCTTGTGCTTGTGCAGCAGGAGGCGAAACCACTGAGCTAAATCCCCAGCCCTCCTTTTTTTTTTTTTTTTTTGATAAGATTGGCTAAGAGAGTTTGTCAATTTTATTTACTCTTTCAAAGAACTCTTTGATTCATTGATTCTTTGTATTATTTTCTTACTCTCAGTTGCATTAATTTGTGCTCAGATCTTTGTATGACGTTCTCCCTCATTCAAGCTTTGGGCTTGACTTATTCTTCTTTTTTCTAGGCATTTGAGGTTCAACATTAGGTTTTTTTTTTTTTGTACTGGGGATCGAACTCAGGATCTTGTGCTTGAGAGGCAGGTGGTGGAAACACTGAGCTAAATTTCCGGCCCCTACATTAGGTTGTTTATTTGAGCACATTCTGATTTCCTGATGCTAGACTTTCCCGCTATAAATTTCCCTCTTACAACTGCTTTCATTGTGTCCTGTAAGTTCCAGTTTGTTCTATTGCCATTATCATTTAATTGTATATACTGTTTAATTTCTTCTTTAATTTCATTGGTTGTTCAGGAGGCTGTTAATTTCCATATGTTTAAGGAGTTTTTGTGTGGGGGGGGGTTGCTGTTGATTTCCAATTTTTTTGCACTCTTTTTAGATAATATGCATGGGATAATTTCAGTTCCTTTGCATTTACTTAATCACGTGCTATGGGCACGTTTTGGAGAACATCCCATGTGCAGCTAATTCTGAAGTGGTGGGCTGGAATACTCTGTAGACATCCACGAAGTCCATTTGTTCACAGGTTTGGTTCAGTTTTGATATTTTCTTTGTTGAGTTTTTGTCTAGTTGATCTATTTGTGATAGTGAATTAAGGTCCCCCATTACAATTGTATTAGTGCTTATTTGATTTTTCATGTACATTAATATTTGTTTTATATAGTTGGGTGACTTTTCCCTCTATTGTAATCAGTAAGTGTAGTTTAATAGGTGTTTCTGGAGGGTTTCTTCATCTAGACTGAAAACCTTGTTGTTTCAAGAGTTTCTTACTGGATGTAACTCCCACATCACACTTCCATTGTCAAATCTTATTTTAGGAACACTTGTCACATTTGGTATTTAGACCATGAATTGTGTATAAGCTTCAAAAAGGGTTACATAAGTCGTTATTTCATCTAATGTCCATGGATTGTATTTCCTGATAATCAGGTCTCTGTCTCACATTGACATTCAAGAACCCCAAGTAAATGAACACCAAACCTCTCTAACAGCTGATACTATCTCTTTTAGAACCTTTTTTTAAATAGTCTTGAATATCTTTATGTAGAACTTTTGGAAATTGTCAGATATATCTGGAATTTACTTTTGTATATTTTCTGAAATGCTAAGAATAATGTTGACCTTGATTTTTTTTTTTTTTTTTTTTTTTTTTGGTACCGGGGGATGGAACTCGGGTCCTTGCTCTTGTGCAGCAGGTGACGGAAACGACTGAGCTAAATCCTGGGCCCCTTGACCTTGATTTTTGTGAAACTACAACTGATGACCATGTTCTATCCTTAATTATCATGTTTTCTTTACTGGGGTAGGCTAGGGTTTGGTAATTTTCCATTGAGTCATGAGTATAGAATTTTTTAGAAACCTCTTCCTTGTGTTTGAAGGGGTTACTTCCTTGTGTATTACATGAGTTCAAGACTGTTTTTGTCCTTGGAGACTTTGTGGAGCTTCCCCGCTATTGCAGTGCCCTGGGTCTTTGTGATAAGAGTGAGGAGTTAGGGGAAGGGCACATTCCATACATTATTGGTAAGAGAGGATAGGAAAAAAGACTAAGACTTCTTTCGCCTTCTTAGGGTAACAGGTCATGGATTAAAGCCTGAGAAAACCTGCCTCTTGTCCTCATGAGAGTCCCTGTTCTGCCTCACAGATACAGGGGGGAAACAGCGTTCATTTGTTAGGATGCCTATTTCCTTCAGCTTTTCCTTCCTTCCTTCCCTGCCTCTTTTCCCTCTCCCTCCCTCCCTCCCTCCCGTCCTTCCTTTGTGTTTTTTTCTGCATTGAGGTCTGAACCCATGGCCTTGAACTATATCCCCAGCCAAAGCCTCAGCGCTCCCCAGTAGGAGTTCTGGAGAGTTTATGGGCCATCTGAAGTTTTGGTTGTTGGTTAATATAACCTGATCTTTGCCTTTCCACATCAGTCATTCATGGCATGTCGGCTGCTCCATGAAAGGCAGGTGCTCCTGGGAAGAGGTTCACTGCAACTCTGAAGTGGCTGACATTTGGGAGTACTCTGCTGACATCTAGGGCAAAGCCCTTCCTTGAAAGAGAAGGCAGCACATTTCTGCCCATCATATACCCAGAGGCCAGCCTGGCTACAAAGCAAGTTCCATCCCAGCCTGGGCAAGACCCTATCTCAGAGTACAAAATAAAAAGAACTAGGGATGTAGCTCAGTGATACAGTGCTGTGCTTGCCCAGCCTTCGAGAGACCTTGGGTTCAATCGCCAGTACTGGGGGGGGAAAAGGAACTACAAATATGGATTTTCAAAACCATAATACTATGAAAAACTGTATTCTAATAAATTTTTTAAAACTTTAAAAAATGAATACCAACATGTATTTTTTTAGAAAAATATAAGCCACTTTAACTTACTGTAGGAAAAATAGAAATTATCTGAGTAAACTAAGCATATTTTAAGGAATGAAATCTAATGAAAATTTCAAGACTCCAATATCATATTTCAAAGGAAGAGTTTACCTTTTCCTCCCCTTATTTTAAAAATTGAACTATATATGATGTAATATATATCAGGTGTTAAATATACACTGATGGGTTTTGACAGTGTATTGTATACGTCTATAGAACCACTATCCCAGTCAAGAATGTTTTCATCAGCCCAGAAAGTGTTCTTGTGCCAATCCAGGCAACAGGCTGTATTGGGCCATTGGCCATGATTTGCCAATCTGTGGTTTTCAGTACATTCACAGAAATTGCTTCAGTGATCAAAATAGTACCAATATTATACTCCTGTTATAGGTTGGAAAACTGAGGCAGAGACTTTAAAATGATATTTAGTATACTGTTTATAAAAAATTCTTTTTCCTATTTTAGAAGTACAGTTCATTGGAAATGCCTTGAACTAATAGCCCTCCTGCCTTGGTCTGCTGCGTACTAGGATTATATGTGTACATCACCACACTCAGCTCATATGAACATTGCTGGATCTCTGAGAATCTCCACTCCTTCCCCCCTCTTGTGTTACTGGGGATTGAACCCAACGTCTTTGCCTTGTGCTGTATCCCCAGCCCTTTTTTATATTTTTGAGACACAGTCTTGCTGAGTTGCTCAGGTTGGTCTTGAATTTGCCATCCTCCTGCCTCAGCCTTCCAGAGTGTTGGGATTACAGTTGTGCCACCATTCCCAGCCCTGAGAATCTTCTTTGCAGATCATTTTATGTATGATATTTTACCAAAATTCATATTCAGGTGTGAAAACAAATATAAAAAACTGGTGTGGTGTAATTTATTATTTAGATTTGGATATTTTGCAAACCATTGACTTAACATCTGGAAATGGTTAAAGCTTTAAATGGAATAATCTATTACACATTTGTTTCAGCAGTTGCAAAATCAGCTTTATGTGAAGCAGCTCTTTTGTGTTATGATGAATTTATGTGTCCGCAGTTATGATTGGCATCTAGGAAATATATTTTCTCCTGTCCAATATCAGAAGCTAAATAATACTGTTTTTTGTGGGTATCAGGTAAATTATGACTCTTCTCTAGATGCAGAAAGTAGGTCTGTCATAGCCACATTCAAACCTGTGTAAAACCGGAAAGAAACACGCTAAGATTGATTTAACCAGAATCCACAGTCCTTTTTATCTGTAGAATACTGAAATTTAATATGTTTAAGAAAGTTTCAGTAAGAATCACAGCCAGGAATTGAACTCATAAAGTAGTTCAATAGAGTTTCTTAGAGTATTACTTTTAAAAGAAGATGAGATTTTCAGAAAACAAAAGTTTATCTTAGCAAGCAAGTGTTTATTTTGCTGACTAATAATTAAATTTTTTTTTCAGAGACATTAAACCTGACAATATATTGATGGATATGAATGGACATATTCGGTTAGCAGATTTTGGATCTTGTCTGAAGCTGATGGAAGATGGAACGGTAAATAAAGATAAATCCAAAATTATTTGACCCACAGATATTTCCCTTGGTGTGTCTTCTTGCTTTATTTTAGAAACTCTCTGTTTATACTGTCTGTCCAGCCATCCATTTGTTTATCCATGTTCCACTTCCTATACAAAGGCATTTGAGCATACTTACTCCTAATAAGGCCTGCCTATGAAGCTATAAGCTATTTCATCTGCTTAAATTAATCTGGAGATTAATGTTTTGAGAACCTTATTTGCTCCTCCTGTAGTTGGTAACTATTTGTTGTTGGACTTGAGATATTTCTATTTTCAGAAAGGGAAGGAAAATAAGTCTCATGTGGAAAATGAAAATGCAACTGCATCCTCACTTTTATTTCCTTTTTCTTTCCAAATTATGTAATCCAGAGCGACATTGTTCAATAAATGATCTTTTTTTCAGAAAGCCCTGTAGATTATATTAGTTTTATGCCCCTTTTTGCTTAACTTCTGAGAGTTAACCTTTCAAGAAAAGGATTACTGACCTCTGCCGTCAGTCATGATGAAAAGAATAATTGAACTAACTTAGCCCTCATACTATACATGAACAAATCTAAATCTGGGGCACAACATTTGAGACATCTTTTTTCAAGCAATGAACAACAAGCAGCATAAGTGGTATTGCTGACAGGAATGAACTCTTGAGGTGTACCTCATAATTGCCCAGAATTGGGACAGTTACTGATGCTCCTGCAGATGGCTAGAGTTATAGCAGAAAAAGCATTTCTTCAGAGCTTTGAAGAGACCAAAGTTTGATTAGTGGGAACATGCAGGGCTTGGCATTGGAGAGGTAGGAAATATGCAGAGACACAGTCTGAAGTATTCACATGGGGTTGCCTCATAAAGCTGAGCAGTACATATATACTGCAAGATCATGTGAATTTTTCCAAATAGAGACATCCATGTAAAACGGGAATTCTACCACAGAGACCAAGCAGTAATGGAGGGTAAAGTGCTAGGAGACCTTGTGGTTTTTGCCCTAGACAGCCAGTTAACACCTTTATAATACTTAAGACCTACTCTAAACTTTACACCTTAAATCCAGACCCTGATAAGATCTAAGAGTTTGGTGTGTTGTTTTTATTTGTTTTGTTTTATTTATTTGAGACACCGTCTCACTATGTAGTTCAGGCTGGCCTTGAACTCAGTATGCAGCCCAAGCTGGCCTCAAACTCGGCAGTCCTCCTGCCTCAGCCTCCCAAGTGCTGGCATCACAGGCGTGCACCATGATGCCTCGCAAGGCATTTTCCAATAAACAAAAAGATAAGAGAGTTAATTTATAGCAGGCCTGGGTGCTAAAGAATCTTAACTGAAGGAAATGATACCATTTGTGTGCTTAGGTGTAAAGAACATCCAATATGATAAATAAGTTGCTAAATTAAAAAGGAGTATAACTTTTAAAAAGCTTCATATAAAAGGCATCTGGTTGTTAAATGCAAAAATATTAAGATTGTGCCAGGCATGGTGATGCATACCTGTAATGTTAGCACCCTTGGGAGACTGAGGCAGGAGGATTGCAAGTTTGAGCCCAGCCTGGGCAATTTAGTAACTTAGCAAAACTGTTTCAAAATAAAATTTTTTAAAGGTCAGGGGATGTAAACCAGTGGAAAGGCCCAGAGTTCAGATCTCTGTAGTACTGTAAAACAAACAAACAGAAACAATTAAGATTGTAATGTGAGGTTTATGATATACGTAGAAGTAATGATATGGTGGTAGTCACACAAACAATGAAAGAGGAGTATGTGGAATTAGACTGCTCTAGGATAACTGTGTGAAGCACAAAGTTGGAAGCAGTATTGCCAGGCATGACATGAGGGGAATAGCATGGTGGTCTTGCTCAATTGAGAAGATTCAAAATGAAATCAGGGAGTCTTTGGCATTTAGAAGTTATAGCCCACAATTCCAGAAACAGGGGAGCTACACTAAAAAATTTCACGTAAGTGGTAGTGATTCCCCACTTCTGTGTGTTACAAGTCTCCTTGGACTCAAAGCCAGGCCTCCTCTCGAAGAGCCCGATCCCTACCCTTCTAAATCCCTATACCTTCTAGAATGCAATTAGTGCTCTTCCTGTCTTTGAGTTTCCTCCAATCAGATTTATTCCTTCTCAGTCATTCATTGGGTGTTTGTTTTGTTGGGGTTTTTTTGTTTTTTGAGACAAGGCCTAAGTAGTTCAGGCTGGCCTGAACTTGCAGTGATCCTCCTACTTCAGCCTCCTTAGTGCTGGGATTACATTACAGGTGTCTGCCCCCACACCTGGCCTCATTCTTTTTTTATTTTAAAAAATTTTATTGGTATACATTTGCAGTACACAGTGACTACACATTGATGTGTTTGCAGTACGCACTGACTGCACATACCCAATCATTCATTCTTATTTTGTTTGATAGTAGGATAATGTTTAAAATTTTGTTCCTAGCACATTTAATGGTGAACTCAAAATAGTTTTCTTGGGCTTGCCATGTATGTTGGATCTCTATGTAAAAAATTATAACCAAATGTAACATTCTTTACACTTGTTTTACTATATACACACACACACACACACAGAGTGATATCTACATATTTTAGGAAGATAAATAATAAAAACCATTTTTTACCCTAATTTTGCCCACCTACACTTCTTTTCTTAGAGACAGAGCTTCTGGCATTTCATTTGCTTGCATATTCCATATTATTCTATTTGTGCTGTTGTCTCTTGATTATTTAGTTTTAGATTCCCCCCCTGAACTCAGGACCTTGAGCTTGCCAGGCGGGCATGGTGCTGCTGAGAGACATCCTCGGCCCAGTTTTAGATTCTTTTTAACGTCTACCATGGAGATTCAGGTTTCTTAATTCTCTCTTCCCCAGCCAGCATACCTGCTCTGTATCTTCCGAATGTAATTAACACACATTCTATCATGTATCATAAACCTCACATTACAAACTTAATTCTGTTTGTTTTGCAGTACTAGAGATCTGAACTCACGGCCTTCTCATTTGATTACATCCCCTGCCCATTTTTGACAATTATGTTGATGAATTTTTTAAAAATCTTAATGATTTTGGCCGTGGGATCTATTTTGACTAATATTACTATAACTACCTAACTTCCTTTTGTTCAGTATATATACAGTGTGTCTTTTCTGTCCCTTTACTTTCTTTTCTGAAGGGTTTGTGTGCCACATGCACAGGACCCTGAGAGCCATGGACATCCTAGGCAAGTACTCTCCTGCTGAGCCAAACCTCCAGCCTCTTTTCCTCTACTTCCCAAATTTTTGGGCTGATATATTTTAAACAGATTATTGCTGATTTTTCCTTACATTTGTTCATTTTGGTTTTTTTCCAGTGTAACACCTCTGGAAAAATAGGTAAATTTAATCCAGTTATGAATTTTGTAATTATCAGTATGTATTTATTTCTAGTATTTGATCTTGTGCTGTTTTACTGTAGGTTTTTCTTGTTTGTTTACCTGTGTGCTTTTGTTTTTCTTCCTTTTCCTTCCTGCCTTCTGTTGAAAGTTTAGCTTTATTTTTTCCTCTCTTTTGGAGGTTACGCAGTCTATTTTAATGTTTATCTTTAAATTTTTTAACATTTTTCTTTACTTAAATGTAGAGTCAGTTTTTCTGCTACATTCTTAGTTTATTTTACATGATATTCAAAAATTAACTCCTTTAGTTTAAAGACCTAAATACAAAAATGAAAAATACAAAACTGCTAGAAGAAAGCATAAGGGGAAAGCTTTACAATACTGGATTTGGCAGTGATTTTTTTGGGCATAACAGGAAAGAATATGTATGCTTTGAGGAATTAAAAATAGTTACCATGTGATTTAGCAATTTGTCTTTTGTGTATATACCCAAAAGAAATGAAAACAGAGATTTGAACAGATATTTGTAAGCCCTTGTTCATGTGCATTATTCACAGGGCCAAAAGGTAGAAGCAATTCACAGATCTATCAACAGAAAAATGAATAAACAAAATGTAGTGTATAGACACAATAGAAGTAATCAGCCTTTAACACATTCACGATGGGGCTATAATTTGTATGTCTTCCTGCTAGGTGACTTGAACCGGCAGAGAGACATGCATGATTGTACCGTTTGTACCATCAGTGGCATCAGCCACCTGATGGAACAGTCATGCATGTACCATGTAGTTCAAGCCAGTGGGAGCATGTTAAAAATGACGGAACCTGACACATTTTATAACATAGGTGAACCTTGAGGACATTATCCTAAGTGAAATAAACTAGTCCCCAAAAAGAATAAATATTATACGCTGTGTGAGGAAAGCATCACGGACCCTGCCTGACCTCCCTCGTCCAGTACTTGCCCGCCCTGCAGTGCAGTGAACGGGCCAGTGGCTGCAGAACCTGGGCCCGGGCTCCCTGGGGCAAGTGAGCCATCCCATCCCAGTGTTTGTCTTAATAAAGCACTGCAGGGAGACTTAAAAAAAAAGAATAAATATTATATAATTCCATTTATATAAGGTACCTCGAGCAAATTCAAGGAGACTGAAAGGTTGCCAAGCACCAAGGAAAGAGAAAGGAAATTATTGTTTAATGAGAACAGAGTTTAAATTTTGCATGATGGTAGATGCATGTAACCCTGCCAATTTGGGAGCCTAACATAAGAAGATTGCAAGTTTGAGCCCAGCCTGAGGAACTTAGTGACTTAAAGCCTGTCTCCAAAAAGGGGTGCGGGGAGGGGCTGGTGCCGCCGCCTACCTCCTGAAATACCAACTTATTTTTCAACCCTACAGTAGTTGTGCACCTTTTCTTTTTCTCCTGTTCTTCCTTCTTCTCTCTCTCTTTTTTTTTTTTTTTGGTACCAGGAATCGAACTTGGGTCCTTGTGCTTGTGCAGCAGGCGGCAAAACCACTGAGCTAAATCCCCAGCCCCTCCTTCGCTTTTTAAAATTATGTTATGCAGTTAACAACAATGTAGATATATGTTCAACTTTATTAATATCTTGTTTATGATTGTTTCTAGTATCACAT